TGCTCAACGTGGGGCTCAAACCCAGGACCTGGAGATTAAGAGGACGCTACACCCGCATATTGTGTTGTCTCCGTCTTACAAATGTTGAAATGTACAACATAGCAAAAACTGTTTTGAGCGGGAAAGAACCGAGAAGGCTACAGTCATAACTAAGAAACGAGATTTTCGCCACATAAAAAGGGGAACTTTGGCTGTGTAACGTTGTTTTAATTTTTTTGATATCACTTATATGAAAAAAGTTCTTACTGTTTCAAAAACCATTATTGTTTGTGTTTTTCAAACTTGAAAAACTTTTTCTATATAAATGATATCAAAAAAATAAAAACATGTTGCGCAGCCAAAGCTCTCCTTTTTATGTGGTCGAAATCTCGTTTCTTAGTTATGATTGTAGTCTTCTCGGTTCTTTCCCGTGCGAAACATTTTTTAGTTTTTACTATGTTGTGCATTTGTAAGACAGTGACAACGCATTCGTGTATAGCGTCCTCTATTTAGAGTCTCGTGCTCTACAGACTGAGCTAGCCGTTTGAACAACTTAGCTGTTGTTCTAGTATCTACAGAAAGGTGACTTAATTACCTATCCACAGGGGAAAAAGCCAGACCTCTAAGTCGAAAAGGGGACGCGCACTGGTCGACCAAAAACCAAAAACAAACGAAAATACAATAATAAAAAAAAAAAAAACATGAACAACAAGCTTGTATTCAAATTGCTCACACTTTAAAAACGACTTGGGGCTAAAAAATCAAACACACTAACAGCACTGACCTAAGGGTAAAACATTAAATAACTAAATACGAAAAAAAGTTCAAAATAATTATTACTCAAAACGTTAATTGGACGTATAACATAAGGAAAAACATACGAAAAATCACTTAATGCGTTTTTCAACTTTTTTCTACCCTGATTACGGGCGAAATAATGGTCGTACGCACTTCGACCATAAACCCTTTTTGAAACTTCGTATGCCATAATATCAGAATCTCGAGTTTTGTAATTGATCAAACGAAAACTCAAAATCCAAAAAACACGTAACTACGTGATTTTTCAAGTAGGTACAATAGATATACGAAACATCCTAACTCCCGAACTAAAAGTCGGATAACCTTGATCTGGGTACCCATGGATCCGGGGAAAAGACTTCTATAACGTTGACTACTAAAACTGCTCGCCGCACCCAAAATCTAAGTGCCCGTGCCAAAAAATCTGAAAAATCGGCAATTTAGAACTTTCGACGCCCTAAATACGGGGAAAAAACGGCTCCTACGGGCACGATACAAGCTACCGAATTTGATCATCGACTTCTAATCTACCCATATCTTGAGTTTCAGAAAATTGTTACAAAAACTAAACGTTTTCCAAAATACACAAGGGAAGGATTCGAGGACCCCCCCCCCCCCCGACTCTGGGAGTACATTTTAGAGGGGCCTAAACCGAAACGTTTGGTGAAGAAACAGTCCCCTTAAGTGGAACCTGGCCGAGAATTACTTAGCTCAAAAAATTATATTACTATTATCATATTAAAAATAATATTAAATTGTCGTGAGTCAAAACAAAATGCTTCTAATGTGAGACAACTGTATGGGTTGAAAAATGAAACTAAAAACGCTTCCCCTGTCTCAAGTATATTCACATTTTATACGATTATGTGGATTTTAAAATCAAACTCCTACAGTTAAGTTATTGGAACCACAAAACTACGAGAAATAATTAATGGACACTCATGGCCTATGGGCTATGGATCATTTTTACCTTTCGGCCACAAGCAATTTCCGATAAAACTGTAGGGGCTGTCCTCGTTTTAGGCATTACAGAGCCTGCATCCCCTCGTAAGGATGGCTTATAATTTTTTTATGAGCAAAGAAATAATAACGATGGGACAAAGAGTACAAATAAGCACTAACTTAATCTAAACCAATCTTTAACCAAGTGTTTTACTACATTTTAAGGTCTATTTTGATTTTTGAGTTGTTTAATCAAGCGTATTACGTATTTCCTTGGTTAACTTTTTTAAAAATGTTTTCGTTTTCGTTTTTGATTTAACAGTTAGGGATACAAATTTTTTCAGTAAAAGTGAAAATGATCCATATACGCCATTTAGTTATTTCTAATAGTTTTGCAAGATAAAAACGTATATTTGAGAATTTTGATTTTCACAATAATTACGATCACATAAATTTTATAATCAAACTCATGCAAGTAAGTTATTTGAACCTAAAAACTACGAGACACCTATGGACACCTTTTGATTACTTTTACCAACCAACCTCAAGCAATTTGCGATAAAACTCTGTGGGCTGTAGTCCACCTGTCCTCGTTTTAGGATTCCAGATCATCCCCTTGTAAGAAAGGCTTATACCTAACTTTTTTTACTAGTAAATAATAATAACGATGGGACAAAGAGTACAAATAAGCACTTACTTAGTCAAAACCAATTTGACTGATTTGGACCAAACAATTCAATATGGGGGGTGCCGGCACGTTTTTACAACCACCTAATTAAATTTATAAGGATAACTCCGGAAGTAGTAGAGTACTGACGTCGAAAAAGTGGTACATTACAGTAGCAAACTACTAAAGATTGGCTCATTTGGAGATCCAATATTTTGAATCGGGGCTGCATTATGGCTCCATACCACCCCCTCCCACTAATGATCCCCTGTAGTTAATTAGGGGTTGCAGCACAAACGATGAAACTCGAGCACAATCCAGCACAAACATAGCACAGACGAATGGCATAATTTAAATTTGAAAATTTGGAGGTGGGGGTGCAGCCATTTTGCTGGCACCCCCACTAAAGATCCGTTCTAGCTCATTAGGGTTTGCAGCACAAACGATGAAACTCGAGCACAAACCAGCACAAACGTAGCACAAACGAATGGTGTAATTTAAATTTTAAAATTGTTAGGGGGGGTGCAGTCGTTTCGCTGGCACCCCCAATCATTATCCCTTATAACTCTTTAAGGGTTGCAGCACAAACGATGAAATTCTAGCACAATCCAGCACAAACGTAGCACAAACGATAGCCCTTCGTTTGAATCCGAAATTGTGAGGTGGGGGTGCAGTCGTTTCACTGGCACCCCCAATCGTTATCCCTTATAACTCGTTAAGGGTTGCAGCACAAACGATGAAATTCGAGCACAATCCAGCACAAACGTAGCACAAACGAAAGCCCTTGGTTTGAATCCAAAATTCGGAAGTGGGGGTGCCAGGGAAATGCACCTCTAAATGTCAGCGAATTAATTAACTCGACATCAAATTCTTCTGATCTCAAACGTTCGGTAACATTATCTCTGTATGATGCATTCTATAAAAAAAATTAAATTATTTATGCTATCATTATAAAAATATTATTTATATTACCAATTTATTCTGCTTTTTTTCATAGGTTTTTTTGCACTTGTTTTTTCTACAGCACGTTTTAGACCAGGTTTTGTTTTTGAAAAAGACGTTCTCATATCAATTGATTCGCTGAAATGTTCATTCTATGAAACATAAAATATAGTATATTATTTTTTTACTGTTTTTTCATTATATATTTTCTATGTTCCAAGAATTATAACCAAAGCGTTGAGTAATGTCATGACTGGCCTATAATATGATTTAGTTAGTATATAGTTTTTTAATTGCCAGGAGAAGGTTTTTATGAACGAACATTTTTAAAAAGTCTACCGAATAAATAGAAAAAGTGCAAAAAATATTTATTGATGTCTGTGATTTGAACCCGATACCGTTAAAATATAAAAAAAAATTAAAACTATAATATTTTTTTGTTGCCATGGAAATGATATAGACAATATTTATTCAATTTAATTGTTTGAATAAAATATAAAAAAAAATTACTGTTAAGACCTTAAAAAGATTTGTATTAAAAAAACATAATAATTTAATTTTGATATGCCTCCTATACGACGAAGCAATTTAGGTAGAATAACCCGAAATGCTACCAACCAAGCTAATTACCGATCTAACCAAAGTCCACAAGAACGTGACGACAGAAATGAACGTGAAAGAATTCGGATATCACAAACGCGTGAAGTGCGAACGCGAAATTCAACTAATAATCGGGCAAACTTGAATCGAGCTGCTTTTAGTTACGATGTGTCAATTGACTACAGTAACTACCAGTGTGTTGTTATTGGTTCTATGAACTCAGTTTGCTCATATTGTAAGGCTTTGAAATACAAAAACGAGGCCAATGGTTTGTGTTGCGCAAATGGTAAAGTGAAATTGATACCATTGGATCCACCACCAGAGCCGTTGTACTCATTGGTTTCAGGAATAGGAACAGATTCTATACACTTTTTGACAAATATCCAACAATATAACAATTGCTTTCAAATGACTTCATTTGGGGCAACAAATGTAGTTCGTGAAAGTTTTATGCCAACTTTCAAGGTATGTATTATAGCAGTTAATCATAATTATTTGTTGATCATTTTTATATTATAGATTCAGTTTTAGTGACACCTTAATTATTTTGAAACACAATATAATTATTTGATGATTTAAATATTCATCAGTTTTAAATTTTTTATTCGATTCGTCTCGAAATGTACATTAAATTGTATTTATTCAATTTTGTTACAACTAAATTTTACATATTGAGGTACATAATCATATTAAATATCATTTTGTCATTCAAATTAGGAGACAGATATAATTTTTAAGAACAAATATTATTTAAGTTTGAACACTGACAATCCATAAATTTATATAACATAGTTGCTTATTTATTTTATTTTATAGTGTTTGGTACAAACATAATATTTTTTTAATTTACAGATGCAAGGACAAATATATCATAGATCAGGTTCACTATTACCAGTGTCAGATAGCAACTACAAATTCTTACAAATTTATTTTTATGTCCAATTCAACACAAGAAATTGATATGTGTTGTGCAAACAACAATTTAGTAAAGAGGTATATTATAGAACAATTACAAACTTTATTTCATGAACACAATCAATTGATTATATTATTTAAAACTGCACTGGATATGATGCCATCTGATAATTACAAAATTGTAATCAAAGCTAATAAAACACCTGCGGGTCAACATGCAAGACGTTTTAATGCACCAACCATTGATGAAGTTGCTGTCGTTGTAGTTGGAGAAAACTTGGAATCCCATGATATTGTTTTACATCGTCGGAATGATCGATTACAACGTATAAATTTTTTTTTTCTTGCATATGGCAAAAAATTTCTGCATCAGCCGGGAAACGAACGTATAAATGAAACACACCGCTCATATGATGCACTACAATATCCTATTATATTTTGGAAAGGTGAAGATGGCTATGATTTCTCAATAAAAATGATAAATCCAATTACAAGTAATTAAAATATTAGTTTAGCGATGGCGGTAATATATCAGTAACCATATTATGTATTTTAATTTTATATTTAAATGTTATAAAAACAAAATATATTTACAGGTTCTGAAACAAACAAAAAAGTCAGTTCAATGGACTATTATTCATACAGCCTAATGATTCGGGAAAATGAAGACAATCACATATTGAAATGTCGGCGATTATATCACAAATATGTTGTTGACATGTATGTTAAAATTGAAACGGAGAGATTAACATTCATCAGGTTGAATCAGACCAAACTCCGATCTGAAGAGTATATTCACCTTCGAGATGCGATTAATACCGATGCAAAAGCACAGAATGTTGGTCAGATGATTATTCTTCCAGCAACATACATCGGAAGCACTAGACATATGCACGAATATGCTCAAGATGCCATGTCGTATGTTCGTCATTATGGTACAGCAGATTTGTTCATCACATTTACATGCAATCCGCAATGGATAGAAATCAAGCAGGAGTTATTCCCTGGGCAATCACCCATTGATCGTCATGACATTACAGCCAGAGTCTTTAGTCAAAAGTTGAAATATTTAATGGATTTCATCGTGAAACATTATGTGTTTGGTGAGACAGGCTGCTGGATGTATTCTGTGGAATGGCAGAAACGAGGGTTGCCACATGCACACATTTTGATTTGGTTGGTTGAAAAGATAAGGCCAAATGAAGTTGATGCAGTGATATCAGCTGAAATACCTAATGTACAATTAGATCCTGAATTGCATGAGGTTGTTATCAAAAACATGATACATGGTCCATGTGGTACTCTTAATCAAAATTCACCGTGTATGATGGATGGAAATGTTCAAAACGATATCCAAGGACGTTAATATCAGAAACAATTACTGGCAATGATGGTTATCCACTGTATCGTCGCCGATCAAGAGTAGACAATGGAAGAACATCAATTGTCAAATTAAATCAACAAGATATTGAAATAGATAATCGTTGGATTGTTCCATATTCACCAATTTTATCAAAGACGTTCAAAGCACACATAAACGTTGAATCTTGCCATTCAGTGAAATCTATTAAATACATTTGCAAATATGTAACCAAAGGGAGTGATATGGCTGTGGTTGGAATTGGTGCAGAGAATTGCAATGATGAAGTTACCCAATACCAAATGGGCTGCTATGTTAGTAGTAATGAAGCAGTTTGGCGAATATTTTCTTTTCGCATTCATGAGAGACACCCTTCAGTTGTTCATTTAGATGTGCATTTAGAAAATGGACAAAGAGTGTATTTTACACCACAGAACGCAGTACAAAGAGCAGCTCAGCCACCTTCTACTACATCAACCAGTTTCTTTGAGACATGCCAAAACGATGATTTTGCACAAACATTGTTATATTCTGAAATGCCAAAATATTATACTTGGAATAAATCCTCAAGGAAATTTATACGATGGAAACAAGGAAAACCAATTCAAGAATACCCAGATGTATATTCCACCGATGTGATCGGTCGAGTTTATTCAGTACATCCCAGCAATGATGAATGTTTTTATTTACGACTGCTATTAGTCAATGTACGTGGCCCAACATCATTCCAACATTTACGAACAGTTGATGGTGAATTGTGTGGATCCTACAGAGAAGCCTATCAACGTTTGCAATTGCTAGAAAATGACGATCATTGGGATCAAACTCTAAATGATGCTGTAATATCATCAAGTGCTCAACAAATACGAACATTGTTTTCTATAATCATATGTACATGCTACCCATCAAAGTCAATCGATTTGTGGATCAAGTACAAGGATCATATGTGTGATGATATTTTGTATCAAATACGGAATAGAATGGGAAATCTAAATATACAAATCAATGAAGAAATTTTTAACGAAGCATTGATTTCAATTGAGGACATGTTCTTGATGATGTCAAACAAACTATTAATTCAATTAGGCCTGATCGCGCCCAATCGTCCAATGCATGATGTTTTTAACAAAGAGGTGCACAGAGAAAAAACGTATGATCTCAACACTTTGAAAGAATTAATTCAAAAAAATCTTCCACTGTTGAATGAACAACAGAAGTATGTATTTGATACTCTTATGAAAGTTACAAATGATGATACTGGAGGGATATATTTCTTGGATGCACCTGGTGGTACAGGAAAAACTTTTTTGATTTCATTAATATTAGCAACAATTCGTTCACAAAATAAAATTGCACTTGCTCTCGCTTCCTCGGGAATCGCAGCAACTTTGCTTGAAGGTGGTCGAACAGCCCATTCAGCACTAAAATTGCCATTAAATATGCAAAGCAATGAATTTTAAAGCTGCAACATTTCGAAGAAATCTGCAATGGCAAAAGTTTTGCAGGAATGTCAATTGATTGTTTGGGATGAATGCACGATGGCACATAAAAAATCGTCGGAAGATTTAGACAGAACCTTAAAAGATATACGGGGCAATCATAACCTATTTGGCGGTGCAATAATTTTATTAGCAGGAGATTTTCGGCAAACATTGTAAGTGATTCCACGATCAACGCCAGCTGATGAACTTAATGCATATCTAAAATCATCCAATTTGTGGAAACATGTCAAAATACTTCATTTAAGCAAGAATATGCGTGTCGAGTTGCAAAACGATCAATCTGGAAACATATTCTCTAAACAACTCATAGACATTGGTAATGGCAAATTTCATGTAGACATGTAGACCGGCTGCATTAACTTTCCTCGAAGTTTTTGTCAGTTAACTCGATCAAAAGATGAACTTATTCAAAAGGTGTATCCAGATATTGCTCGCAATTACAGAAACCATGATTGGTTGAGCGAACGAGCTATATTGGCTGCAAAAAACATAGATGTAAATGAATTAAATTTAAAAATTCAAGAACAAATTACAGGTGAATCGAGTATATATAAATCAGTTGATTCGGCAACTAACCAATATGATGTAGTCAACTATCCACCGGAATTTTTAAACTCGCTGGATTTACCAGGATTGCCACCTCACAATCTTAAATTAAAGGTTGGATCGGTTGTTATAATGTTGCGAAATATCAACCAACCGCGTCTGTGCAACGGCACACGGTTAGCGATAAAAAAAATTACTGAACGAGATAGAAGCAACTATATTGAAAGGAAAGTTTAAAGGAGAGGATGTTCTCATACCGTGCATCCCAATGATTCCGACTAGATGTGCCATTTGAGTTTAAACGCCTACAGTTTCCAGTGCGGCTTGCTTTTGCTATGACCATAAACAAGTCCCAGGGGCAATCATTAAGTGTTTGTGGTATTAATTTGGAAAACCCATGTTTCTCACATGATCAATTATATGTTGCCTGTCCCCGTGTTTAAATTTAGGTTTAAAAATAGAGAAAATTCATAGAGTGTTAGAATTTAGTCAATCTCCTTGGTTAAAAGTGTATATTGATTTTAATACTAATCTTAGATCAGAAGCTAAGAACGAGTTTGAAAAAGAATTTTTCAAATTAATGAATAATAGTGTTTATGGACGTACTATGATGAATGTTCGAAATCTTGTTGATATAAAATTATGTTCTAATGCAACCCAACTAGAAAAATTAATTGCAAAACCAAATTTTGATCGAAGGACAATTTTTACAGAAAATTTAGCTGCAGTACATATGAAAAGAACACAAATATTTTTCAAACAACCAATATATGTAGGAATGTGTATATTAGATTTATCTAAAATGTTAATGTATAATTTTATTATAATATTATAAAGAAAGAATATGGAAATAGAGTTAGATTGTTATATACAGATACAGATTCACTAATATTAGAAATAAAAACTAAAGATTTTTATCAAGATATGAAAATTATGTTAGATCATTTTGACACTTCAGTGTATCCAAAAGATAATATTTATGGTTTACCTTTAGTTAAAAAAAAGTTTTAGGCAAGTTTAAAGATGAGTTAAATGGAAAAATAATGTCTGAATTTATAGGTTTAAGATCTAAATTATATTCTCATCGAATCTTAGATACTGAAAAAGAAATTAAAAAAGCTAAAGGTGTTAAAAAAAATGTTGTAGAAAATAAAATATGTTTTAATGATTTTGAAAAATGTTTACTAACAAAAGAATCAAAATATGTTAAACAAAATTTATTTAGAACTAAGAAACATCATATTTTTACTGTAGAACAAAACAAAAAAGCTTTAAGTGTTTTTATGATGATATAAGATTTATTTTGGAAAATGATATTGATACAATAGCTTGGGGACATTATAAAATAAATATAGATAGAAATGATTTTGTAAACCATCTCAATACACTGATTAGAAATCAAAATCAAAAAGATTAGAAAAATATTTGATATTTAACGTGTGTCCGAATTGGACACGCGTTTAAATATATAAGTTTTTTGCATTTCGATTTTTATTTTTAATAGAACAATTCTATTAAAAAATATTTTAATTATTATTGCATTTCGATTTTAATTATTAATATCATAAGTATTATGAAAAATATTTTGGGGGTTTTTGTATTTAATAAGTTTTGCGAAAAATGTTTTTATTATTATTGCATTTCGATTTTTATTTTTAATAATTAAGGTTTGCGAAAAATATTTTTATTATTGCATTTCAATTTTCTGATATTTTGGCCATTGTTTTCTTTGTGATCTTTTACTGATATATTATTATTAAAGGTGCTGCGCCAGGAACGGTATATATATACTACTCATATATACAGAGGAAAAAATATGTTCATTGTCATTTAAACTATAAAGATTAATTGTTACATCTTCTACACGTTCAAATTTGTTCATCTAACTGACTGATGTGGTGTTGGAAAATCAATACATTTAAAATCTAAACCACTTTTTTTCTGACATTTTAAAATATTTTTTTTTATTTAAAATAAGTTTTATTCGAACGATTATCAAACTTAGATAGTATTGAATATTTAAAACATTTAAAATCGTTATTTTTTCACATTTATAATTGCTCTTTTAACTTTCATATATTCAGGTAAATCTATATACGTTCATCCCCTGAGGGGATTCACTATATTAATTCTTAATTGCAATACATTTATACTCTTAAGAGACCACCCAGATCCTTTCGTTAAAAACTGGTCTTGCTCGGATAATAATTTATCGAACATCCTATTTAATAATTTATTGAAATCGGATGAATTACATGCAAGTGTATTAGAAGCTTTGAATGCTATGTCCTGAACTTCTTGAGTAATTATTCTTTCGTATACACTATCCACATATAAATTAAATTGTATAGATGATTGTAAACATGATTGTTTTAACTTTAAAATTAATTTATCTCTAACATAGTTAAAAAAAAAAAAGCGTGTAGTCTATAAAATCTAAAGTATTCTTAATTAAAAATGTTTTCGAACATTTTTTAAATCTCTCAATTTCAAATAAACCTTCATCAGAAGACATCATCCGCTGACGTTTTGTAACCGTTTTTCTTTTCATTGTAAAACTGAAAATAGATTAAATAAAAACATAAGCTTAAACAATAATAATAATATTGTGATATTTTATTATAACATCAACTTCTTTTTTTAAATTTTATGTAAGCAATTTAAAATATTTTGTCAAAATATAATAATAGTATTAATTCTAAATTATTACAAAGAAAAAAAACATTTTAGTCAATCCAGTATTAAATTAGTTTTATTTGAACGATTATAAAACTTAGACAGTATTGAATATTATATACACAGGAATGATATAGGTTATAATTTATTTCAATAACATTCGATATATAATTATAATATAAAATAATAAATAATTTATTTAATCGATTTTATTTCGGAAAAACAGAATTGTATCAACGACTATAATATTCTAATTCTATTCTATCTAATTTATCGTACAAT